TGATTAAAGTAGAGGGTGTCATGCTCAGTGAATGGAGTTAGCAGGAGAGCAAGGAATAACAGATGATGTCACTTCTATATGGAGTATGTAGAAGAAGTGAGAGAGTTGCAGTGACCAGTGAGATCAGACTCTGAAACTGTCTCTGGACCAGAAGTGACAAAGGCAGGGACAGGCACGAAAAGGGATATTAACTAGTGATGGGTGTGGTGCATTATCTTTGTAAATCTAGAACATGGCTGTGAATTGTTGTAAATCATGATTGTCTCGTTAAAAATAGTAAAAATATCTAGAAAACAAAGAGCATAATATACTTCAGAAAAATGAAATTAGAAACTTAATAGAAATCAAAATCGAAAAAAAATAAGCTATAGAGAAAGTTAATGAACTCAAACCATTGTTTGAAATACCAGCACGGTTGCTGAAGCTCTTAACAAGAATAAAAAAAGGATTAAAAGATATGAGACAAGTTATCAGTCTACAGAATTGAAATGGAAGATCTCACTATTAACCTCTCTCCTGAAGAAGGTCATAAGAAACTTCTATAAATTTAAAAATCTGAGTGAAATGAACCTTATCCTTGAAAATGAAAAACTATTAAAACATAGCCCAAATAAAAGAGGTAACTGAAGAGTCCTAAACTTTTTAACAGAAAATAAAATCTTATTTACTGTGGCCACATCCATCAGTACTCAGGGCTTACTCCTGGCTATGTTCAGGAATCACTTCTGTGGGCTCAGGGGACCATTTGTGGTGGTGTAAATTGAACTGAGTCATCTACGTGTAAGACAAGTACATTACCTGCTGTACCATCTCTCCAGTCCCAGAAAAATAAGATTTATTTTAGGTGAACTAAATACAGAAGGAAATGAAAAACTAGACTAGAAGTAACAAAAGGACATTGGTGACGTGTTTTTAGTACTATATCAAATCCATTAACATGAACACTACTGTAAACATATGACTGTAACATACATTTTTACAGAAAAACTAAATATAAATTTTGGAATGAAAATATGTACTATTTGAAATTTAAGCTTTTAAAAATTTAACATAATGCAGATAACAAGGAGCTGAAGTGATAACTGCCTTGCACGCGGTCGACAGAACCTACCCGGGTTCGATTCTTCCATTCCTCTCGGAGAGCCCAGCAAGTTATCAAGAGTATCTTGCCTGCATGGCAAAGCCTGGCAAGCTACCCATGATGTATTTGATATGCCAAACACACTAACAACTAGTCTCACAATGGAGACATTACTGGGCCCGCTCGAGCAAATCGATGAACAACAGGAGGACAGTGACAGTGACAGTGACAGCAGATAACAAGGAAAGAATCAGCATGAAGGAATCCTCATTATTCTCCCTTTTCCCCACTCTTGAAAAAATTAAAAAATAGGGGAGCAATGGCAGGTGGGCCAATGGTGGAGCATTTGCCTTTTATGCATAAGGCCCTGGGTTCCATTCCAGGATCCCACCTCCCCCCAACACACACACACACACACACACACTCATATGCCCACGTGCACAAAGGGAAACAGACTGAGGCATCACTCAATAGGGTAAGCGTGTGCTTTGCATGCAGGAGGCTTTTCATTGGGTCTCTGGTACCACGTGATCCCCTGAGTCCAGAGCCAAGAGTGACCCCCAGGCAGCCCTGGCTGCGCCCTGCGTACCACCATCACCCTACAAATGAAAAAAAGATAGAAAATTATTGATGAACACAGCACAAGAGTGGTTGCAAAGGAGAATTGTTGGGTAAATGGGGTAAATGGGCAGATTGATTGGTCAGAGATACATAGTTTATATGATGCATATGCCCTGAAGGTAGAATGGACAGAACTGGAACTGTCATTAATATGGTAGTTTTAGGAAGCAGATCTTAGATGCTGAATATCTTAATTTATTTGCTTGTAGTCACACAGTCAAATCATTGCATTGTATGTTTTAAATCATACAGATTTGTCAGTTATATCCCAATGAAGCTGGAAGAATGCAAAGTCAGTGTTTTGGCTTCCAAGAAGAGCAGTGGGTTAGAGAGGCTGATGGTTAAATCAGCATGCAGATTTGTCCTTTTGGGACCTTGGAACTTGGAGCTGTGTTGTGTTGGGCAAGTTCTGGAACCTTCTGTGGCCTCCCTTTTTCTTGGCAGCTTCACCACCCAGAGTGGTGATGAGATACGGAAGGTCCTCTGTATCTATCTCACTGGACCCACGCTCTGAAGGGAACTGTCAGTGCACAGTGACCCGGGAGGGAACCGTCAGATGGCTCCTCTGAGGCAGAAGATCTGGAGCCCTTTATGGGCGCAGTAGCGGCTGAGAGTGGGGACCATGAAAACTTGGATCCTCCAGCAGGTGTCTGCATGTGGGTGCTTTGGTCTTTAGCTGTTTTCTTTTCTGTTAGTGTCATGTTATAGTAGCTGGGATACCATCTGTCGATGAGCCTGGCTTATTTAAGAGAGTGAACGCACATATTACTTTGAGATGAGTAGTCAGGCTGTTTCCAGAATGTGTTTGACTACACTGACCTGTGTGGAAGAGCAGGCTAGGGAGCTTCCTGGTGGAGGAGGTGACTCCTGTCTTAAATCTTAAAGGAAAAAGGCAGCCTGACACAGAAGTGTGGGTAGAACTTTCAAGGGTCAGAGCGAGCATGACTGAAGTGGGTTCAGATTCAGGGATTTGGAGCTGCTGGCCCAGGCCATGAAGGATGTCAGGTCCATGACAAAGAGTCCAGACTTCCTGCTGCATGTGTTAGGATTGGGATCCGTGTCTGGACACTGTTTGCCAACTGTAGCGTTGATGTTGTGTCAGAAGCATGCAGCAGAGTGAAATCAGGGCCTGAGTTGTAGGCAGTGAAAGCCCAGCCACAGGGACTATGACTTGACCCACTCACCTTCACAGTTTCTTCTTCTTGGGGTTTTTACAAGGATCAAATGCAGAACACACATTTGACCAGGATCTTGCCACAGTGGCCGGGTGGCTTATGTGAATTCGTAGTTAATCATAATATGTCTAATGAACCAGCTTACCCAGACTGTCTGTCAGTTCCAGACCACGGCTGGCCTACTGTGCATTACTCACAGAGTACTTTCATGGACCGGAGTACTTTTTAGGATGAGTTGGCTATGATAGTAATTATCTGTGTTGTATAATAAATGATTCCTCAAATTAGAGGCTCAACAAGAACAATAGCTTCTATTATTTCTCATGGTTGTTGTGTTGGGAATTGAGGTGTTAAGGGACACTGGGCACTTCTGTCTCAGAACTGAAGGCTTGTCTGTGAAGTGGCAGCTTTATGTGGCTGCAAGTTGGTGCTGGCTGGTGGCAGTCTCTTCCCCTAGCTCCTCAGAGGGGATCCGAGACATCAGGGCAGAAATCCACACCTTGCCCTCGCCACTCTGTGTTGTCAAACTGAGCCGCTCTGAGCAGCTCTGTGGGCAAAAGTGCCAGGAGGATTAATGATGACGTACTTCACTTTGCAGTCTGGCTTGCCCAATTAAGAGGGTTCAGTGTAATGCTCCTTTACCTGAAGGGCGTTTCTCCCCTGCCCTCTCCTGTCGCAGTCCTTCTGGCTGGCCTCTGGCCCAGACTGTTTTTCTGTGTGTTCTTAAATTGGCATACAAAACCTTTATATTTTTTTCTTTTTCAGTTTTTGGGCCACATCTGGCAGTCCACAGGACTTACTCCTGGCTCTGTGATCCAGGGGCTCTACTGATAGTGCTTAGAGGGATCATATGGGTGCTGGAGATAGAACCTGGGTGGGCTGTTTGCCAGGCAAGTGCTCCTTGCTGTCTTGCTGTCTTGTCGCTGACTCAAGAAGCCTTTGTTTTGCCTTCTATTTTTATTCCAAAGGCAGGCCCCTCTTGCTCACCAACCCACAGGCTGTCTTTAGAGTACATATTTGTCTTTGCGAGGAACCTCACAAACCTCAGAGGCATAGAGAGAAAACTCAGAAAATAAATCTTGAAAAAGATAGCAGTACTAGCTGTTCTCTTTTTGAGTTGCAGTGACTCTGCCTGCTACTTGCCAGTCTGTAGCCACAGATGAGCCACAGGCTGGTTGTCCATCCAAGGGCGTCCTCTTGGCACTGCACTAACCCCCAGGAGAGACAGGAGACTGGGAGCCGTTTTGGCGTCTGTACCAGGGAAGCCGAGCTGGGGACAGACCCAGGCCGCCTTCATGTCACTTGTCCCCAAGCCCAAGCTTTTCCCCTCATGACACAGCTGACCCCTAGGTTCATCTTGGGAAAGCATATCGGATGCCCTGTTGAAGACTCAGGGGAGCCCACCATGGGGGTTTGGTGCCTTTGCTTCATTTTCCAACATCTTCCTGCATTGCCTCCTGTCACCATTGTGGGAAGAAGCACAGCTGCAGCCTCGGGTGTGACAGTCCTGTGAAATCGCATTGGTTCTGGCACTCAGTAGGCATTGTCAGGGCAGGGGACCTGCACATGCTTCTTGCAGTTACACAGTGCGCCCAGTTGGAAGATCCCCCATAGGAATTTAGACGTAGATTTATCTTGACAGCCATTCAGATTGTCCGGAAACGGAAGAAGGACAACACACAATTTAGAGACATCGATTCTGATTCTCATGGGGACATTGTCTAGCTTCTTTTCTTTCAGGAAAAACTATAATTTCAGGCACATGCTGATGCTTTTTGCTGTTCAAGACCATCACATTTATGGTTTAGTCAGTTGGCTGTATGTACCCTGGAGAAATTGATCTTTGTGAGTCTGCTTTCTGGAACAACCCCCTGCCCCATCAGTGGGATAGGTGTGGAATGGGGGTAGCTGGATTCCTGTCACCGTGTCCATGCTACAGTCTGTCATAACTTAGCTTTGTGTTACAAATAAATAACCCCCGACCCCTGCCCAAGTCTGGACTTATGCAGGGATTGAGAGAGTTTGATGACGCAGAAACTCTTGTTGTGGAGACAGGCCAACTTTCACATTCTCTCTTGTTTTCTCCTCTTTTCCAGCCTGCAAGTATTCCTGCCACAAGAAATGTGAAGCTAAGGTAAGGGTCAAGTTACTTTCCCATGGGGCTTTTTATAGTTGAATTGGTCTTTGATGAGTGATACACACAGAAGAGGGACAGTCTTTAGCCACAACCCCAGAAATGAAACTTCTTGAGAAATGGCTACTAAATTCTTTCCCTTAGGACGTATATGTTTCATCTAGGGAATGAGTGGAGGGGCTTAAACATCCATGTTTTTCATTACAGAAAATAACTCTTAAGAATTTGGTTTCAGATGAGAAAGAACAATTTCGTTTGGCCGCGTCTCTGTGTTCTCTCTGTGAGAGATGACCCTTTGTTTCCAATTACTCGACAGGCTGCTTCTTGGGTGCCTTCGGGAGTGAGGGGTCGAAATAGAGGTTCAGGCCATGAATCTGGCCCTGAGACTCTAGTTTCTTTCAGAAGGTGTTTGTGGGTTGGTTGGATTTCAGCCTGTGGTAAGCATCTGGGGACCCAGACTCAGGGTTTGGTTCTTCTGCTTGCAAATTCTCCTGCGAAGTTCTCTTCCCTTTGGAAGCAGTGGGGCCTGCTGGGCGTGGCTGCACATAGGTTTCTGCTGAGGAGGCCTGCAAACACCCTGCACGTGTTAAGTGGGGAGGAAGTGCAGGCTTACCGGGGTTGAGCCCTGGGTCTGCGTCTCTCACACTTTCTAACTTTTTTTTTCTTTTTGGGTCACACCTGACGATGCACAGGGGTTGCTCATGCAGTCAGGAATTACTTCTGGAAGTGCTCGGGAACTATATGGGATGCTGGGAATTGAACCTGGGTCAGCCATGTGCAAGGCAAATGCCCTACCCACTGTACTATCACTCCAGCCCCATCTCCCGCACTTTCTATGCATGAAGTCTCCTTCAATGCCCAGTGGAGCCAGAGTGCACCATCCTGAGTGCTAGCTGGGAGCCTGTCAGTGGTCCTGAGTGATTTCTTCATGACTGGAGCTTCAGGAAGATGGAGTTTTAGAGCAGTGGTTCTTAAATCACTGGCCTGGGCACTGAGTGTGAACTTGTCATCCTTAGAATTGTGTGGAGGTGAGTCTCCTGGGTTTGATGTGTGGAAAGTTCCCAGCAGGTTCTCTGGGTATCAGATAAAGGGAGCTGGGCAGACAGACCCCTGTGGCTGTGAGCTGGCTTCATGTGGCACATTCTGGACCTGGGAGCTGGGGTCTGCTTTCTCCACCATCCCACCACCCCGGGAGACACATGCAGACATGCATGCAGACGTACGCACATTCATGCAGATGCATGCACTTCACATACATTCATACTTGTGCATGTGCATAAGTCACAGTTGGAGACATACATACTCACGTGTGCATACAGCCATTCACACATGCATTCACGGGAAAACTGCAGGCTCTCCAGGCCTGATTCTGTTTTCTTTTTATAGTAAAGATAGAATGAATTCAGAATTTTATTATGAAGAACATGGAACATGCAGACGTCATGTCTGGCATGGAGTTACTAGTGTTACCCTGCAGCCAGCCTCCAGGCCTTCTCTCAACCCTTTCTGTCGCATTTGTGTTTGGTCCTTGCTTATTGATGTTGCATGGGAGATGGTGTGGTTCTGTAGTCGTTGGTTGGCTGATGGATTTCTCTAGTTAACCAGAGTGTGTGAGTGGATGATCTTGCCTGGACGGGAATTGACCCAAGCCTCCCACATGCAGTGTGAGTGCTCACACCTTTGAGGTATCTCCTGGCTCCCATTTCCTTAGTGACATCACAGTCTTCTTGCTCTCCTGCACTCTCGGGTATGGCTTATTTCTAGACCATTCTTTAGTTCTGTCTTGTCCTCAGACACGCTCTGCTCTCAGGTATGCTGTGTACTTTTAGTCTAAGTGATTTTGTTGGGGGCTGGAGCGATAGCACAGCGGTAGGGCGTTTGCCTTATAAGCGGCCAACATGGCCGACCCGAGTTCGATTCCTCCGTCCCTCTTGGAGAGCTTGGCAAGCTACCGAGAGTATCTCGCCCGCACGGCAGAGCCTGGCAAGCTACCTGTGACGTATTCAATATGCCAAACACAGTAACAACAAGTCTCACGTTGGAGACGTTACTGGGCCCGCTTGAGCAATCGATGAACAACGGGAGGAGCGTGATCACCGTGATTTTGTTGGAGTAAGAGCCCTTTGTAGTTCCCACATCTGAGGGAATGTTTCAGGTTACAGTAGTTTTTCATACTCTCTGAGCTTTTAGAAATGTCCCTCCAGTCCTGAGCATGGCCTTCCCATGCACACAAGGTGCTTAGACACATGAACAATGTGGCATTTTCTGCATAGCTGGTGTCTCATCCCCACAGTGGGCAGAAAAAGGAGAAGCATCTCAGTATCTGGATGTCATGTGCCATTTCTGCACATATGTGTGTGTATGCACACACACCTATATGCAGAGTGTGTGCATGTAGATAAAATGTGTACATGTGAGTGTATGTGAGTATGCATGTATATATGCACCTTGTACACATCAGTTGTGCATTTGTGCAAGCACCTTGAGTGCGTGAATGTGTGTAAGCACTTTGTGTGTGAGTGTGCCTGTGTCTAAGCCTGTGTTTACATGAGTGTGCATGTGTGCATCTTGTGTATGTGGGTGTGCATTGTATGCACCTTGTGTATAAGAGTGTACATGTATGTGCACCTTGTATATATGAGTGTGTGCACCTTGTGTACATGTGTATGCATTTGTGTGCACTTTGTGTACACGAGTGTGCATGTATGTACCTTGTGTGCGTAAATGTGCTTGTGTGTGCACCCTGTGTACATGAGTGTGTGCACCTGTGTACTTGAGTGTACATGTGTGCACCTTACGTACATTGGTGTGTGTGCACCTTGTGTACATGAGTGTGCGTGTGTGAACCTTGTTTCTCTGAGTGTGTGTGTGTCTGCATGAGTGTCTGTGTGTAAGCACCTCGTGTGTACATGTGTGCCTGTGTGTGCACCTGCGTCTATGAATGTGTGTGTGTATTTGCACCTTGTGTATGTGACAGAGCCTCTTGCTGTGACTGTATGGCTGGCTCAGTTATTTCTGACCTCATGCTTTTAAAAAGTTACTAGTTTGTCAAGGGGTCCCAGCCCCAGTTACTCATGGCGTTGAATTTCTTGGTTTAGAGGTTATTCCCAGAGACTTTACTGTTACTGACTCTGACATTTGTCTTTAATAACTGGTGATTTGCTGGTAGCTAGAAGAAGTTTTATTTTCATTAGACACTGGCAGGAGGGCACTGGTTGCAGCCCTATGGCTCAGTGGCAGGAAGGCCAGGAGCAAGGATGACCATGCCCCTTTTTACTCTGAAGCAACAGTGGCAGTCCCCTTGCCCCCCAAGATGAGCTGAGATGTGGCTCTCAGGTGGTAGGGTCTTTGGTTACCACAGCGTGGGGGTCCTAAATGCAGGTTTGACTGGTTTTCCTGGAACTAGGAAGTGTGAGTATTGCAGACAAATCTAATGTTCTTGCTGGATAGGTGGCCTGACCTGCTGATGGGGTGAACCATGTTCAGCAGGTGCCCTCTGAGTGGGACCCACAGACCTCGTGGACAGACAGTTGAGGAGTGTTTGCAAGGCCTTAGGACTCTGCGAGAAATGTTGCAGCTAGTGGTGGACTCACGATCATCACAGTGGCTCTGTCAGAGGCTCCTCGCCGGGCCTCAGGTACCTCTTGGATAGACCAGAAGCTGTGGCGAAACTGTCTGCAGAATGGGGGCTGAACCTTCGTGGAGAAGGTGGACAGTGAAAGGGAGACGTCAGCCTGGCCCTGATGCCCCAGGGTCATGCTCCCTGGGTTTGGAGCAGCATGAGGCTCTGCAGGTGAGGTCAGGTAGAGCACAGACGTGCCTGGGATCCCAGTGCAGTCTGCTGAAGCGAGGTCAGTCCCCAGAGCCTCCGTTTCTTTATGTGGACAGTGGGTGAATATTCCCATGACCGTGACACTCCTTTGCTGTTAATTTGATAATATTATCTAGGTCTTAGGAAAGCCAAATAATGTATAATTACTGAACGTTTGGGATTCCAGATTGTGGGACTGTGTATGCTCAGGGAGACGCAATGTCTGGGTGCTGTGATTTGGATTATTCCCGACTTGACTCATTGGCAAGGGGAAAAAGGAAGTTTCAGAAATAAAGCTGATTCAGAAGCAGACAATGGTGAGCTGCGCATGGTGGGGGAGGGAGATAGGCCCCCCTCTGTTCCCAGAAGCATGCACTCCCTGTCACTCCTGGTGACAGAAACTCCAGCTTTGCTACTGACGCCCCAGTCATGGCCCTTCCATACCTGCCCTCCCTGGGTAACAGCTCAGGTGTCCTGACCACTGTGTGCCCACCCCACCGCAGGACCCAGGGCTGTCTGGGTGAGCATTCTGGGGAGCCATGCGGACCAGGCTGTGGGGCTGCTCTGGCCTCAGTTTGCTGGACCCTGCTCTCAGAACTCAAGTGAGGCTTGTGATTTGTCCAGAGCCGCAGTAGCTTCACGGGCCAGTCTCCCTGCCGTGTCTTGTGTGGACACAGCTCTAGATCTTAACTCTGCCATGAAGTTCAGAGTCCAGAGCTGAACTTCCTTGGTGCTGGGGGCAGATGCAGCTGCCCGGCTTCTGCAGGTCGCCCTGTTGACTTAATCATTAACTGAAGTCTGGCCATGGGCGTTCATCTCCAGACTGTTTCTTTCTCCAACTCCAAGCCATAACTTGCTGTTGGAGGCTGCTGTGCCCCAGCTGTTTTCAGTGGGTGAGAAATGAATGTCTCTTGTCACAGAGCTCCCACGTGCCACCGGTCGAGGGTTGCTCCGTGCCGCGGTCAAGTTTTTGCTGTTCTCAGTGTTCTTTGTGTGGGTTCTTATTTCCTGGGGTCCCTGGTTGTGCCACCTTGGTGCCACTGTCCATGGACCCTCCGGTGACCTCTAGCCCTGATAGTGCATCTGGTACAAGGACATGAAGAGGGTGCCCTCACAAAAACGTCTGCTTCTAGGGCCCCCACCCTGCTCCATGTCTCCCCACAAGTTCATTGTCCACCAGTCCCCCCAA